TGAAACACAGGCAGTTCCGTCTGAATATGAGGAAAAACTTCTTTGCTATGAGGGTGCCAGAGCACTGGCACAGGTTGCCCAGAGAGGTGGTGGAGTCTCCTTCGCTGGAGATATTCAAAACCCACCTGGATGTGATGCCGGGCAATGTGCTCTAGAGGCCCCTGCTTGAGCAGGGGGGTTGGACTAGGTGATCTCCAGAGGTCCCTTCCAACCTTGGCCATTCTGTGTTTCTGAGGAACAGACTTTGAAATAGAGGTAGATGATATTGCCGTTCAACAGTTAGCATCTAAAAAGAGTGACAGAAAGGGGACAGAACTGTGCAGGAGAGTTTAAGGTGAGGAAGGAAAAAGTACATACAGTAAGAGGGAATGAAAGGAAAGAAGTTGTATATAATTTAGAGATTTTATCTTCTGCCTCAGAACACAATTATAAGGATTCACTTACCCAGAACTTTTGTTTCTGTCCATCTTTGTCATCTAGTACTCCCCACCTGTGGCAAGAGATGATACCAGTGAGACCTCTGATGCATGTGTTCACGTTTTGTTGCTTGAAAGAAACAAACAGAAGGAAACACTTATGATAGTTACTTGTCCTAACAGCAAAACCAGGAAAAAGCATGACTAACAGATATCTCCTGTTTTAAATACTGTTTTAAATGCTGTCAGCAAACTCTGCCGCAGATGAAAAGGAAGATGAGCATCCGGCTAGCCACAAGCTGTCAGAGAGTGCAAAAATTTCTCAACACAAATGTAGGTTTAGTTTGTCATTGCAATAATCTAATGCTCTTCCTGACAGAAACCCTCCCCTGGAGAGCTTACCAGCTGAACTGAACTGAACTGTATAGGAGTATTTAAATAAGTGCCAACAGATTTCTTCAATTCAGTTGAAGATCCCTAGCAACATTTCTGTTACAGATCTCATCCAATACCTTAAAAAAATAGCTGGCAGAGCTGAGACTAAAAATGTCCCTGGCTGATCTCAGCTCAAATTAGATTGCTGACAACCTAATCTGTTTTACTGCACAGCGTGGGGAATGACCTGTAAACTTACTTGACTTTTCTTTGACATCTTTGACACACAGGGTCAGATCTTTGAGGACACATTAAATGTTGTGGGAATATCCGGGAAACCACACAAGAGATTCACCCCACCTGCTAGGTAATAGCTCTTTCCTAATTGTGTAGTTGTAGCTGAATTGCACTGTGCCCTGGATTGCTCAGCCTCTCTGTGTTTATGCACAGAGCAGATAAAGCTCTGTGGCCATCATCTGCATGCAGTTCAGTCAGAGGAAGCTCTACTGTGTACCTTAGGTATATAGGTAGATATATTAGTTACTTAAACAGGTCTGTCTCATTTTGCAATCATGCAATGAATGCATCTCTACTTATTATTCATGGGCCATGATGCTTGGGTGCCTGTGCAAGGAGACAAATAAACAGAAAATTGAAGATATGAACTGTTATTGTGGTTTTTCCACAGTATAAAGTTAATCCTACAGCATACAAAATGCTATCAATGGGGTATTTATCACATACACTTTGCACTGACACCACGTGATTGGGGTGTATCTGTAATGTCCCATAGACTGCAAGAGCTGAGCAGCAGGAATATCATGGAAAACCTTTAGTGTGGAAAGGGAAACTGGGATTTTCATGGCATCTTGATAAAAAATCCGAACAGCCATGGAGGCATCAGTTTTACTGGGTTATTATTAAGCCATGACGTACACTGAATACTTGGGCTTCCAGAGAAAAAAAGCAGGAAAGACAAATTTCAAACACCAGGCATAACTCTTCCAAAATCTTCCAGTATAGAAGTTGACATGAAGAGATGCTGAACAGGATAAGCACACAGGGTTTTTAGTTGGTTGATTAGTTGGGTTTTTTTGTGTCTGTATCTAAACTGAAAAACTGAAGATGTCTGGATGTTTGCCTCAAAGTCATTCCACTGTGGGCTCTGGAACCACATTGTCATTCCCCTTGTCAGAGCTTTTGTGGGGAGAGGGTGTATTACAGCGTACATCTATCTCCTCGTTTAGACACATACTGTTTTTCATTATTAATCTTTCCTATTTTGATTTCCTTCAGACTCTGGTGAGTAGTATAATAAGGGTTTGAGGTAAAAACAATATGACATAATATATTGTTGATTGTTTTCTGGATACTGCCTGCTATAGCGTCAATATTATCTGCCAAGAAGAGCAGGGATACAGAACAATTAGATAGAAATGTCCACTTTAAAAATAAATGTTCTGTAAAGACATGAAGCTGAATTACAATTTCAAGCACAAATTGTAGCTACAGCTCATTGTATGTTGTGAGAATGATCATTGTGTGTAACTGCTGATTTTTAGACAGTCCTAATGATGTTTTTTCTTTGCAGTCACATGAAATTTCTGTGATTATTAACCATCTTTGCCACTTCTTTGCCAAATATATCTGAGATGCAGTTACTCATGAACATATAAAAAAAAATCTAATAATAAAAAAATAAAAAAATCTAATATCCATAAGCTATTTAATTTCATGTAACATTTAGATTTACTTCTTTCCTTGTTGTCATTTTATTAAAACATCCATTAGTTGAGACAGTTTCAGCATACAAGTCCAAAATATACATCAGTTTTAAATATATTCCTATATTCTTTCATTTAGCAGTACAGATTCTCTCTCCCATGTGCTTAAGTAGGGTGATGACCAAGTTTTGCAGGCTCATGTTCTTGTTGTTACACATTTGCCTAATGCATATTGTTTTCTAAAAAGCTCAACTTTTCATTTCATACCTAGATAGAAATTTATTGGTATTCAGAAATGCTTCTAATCAAAAAAAAAAAAAACAGAGAGCAAAACGGAGAAGGGTTCTTTACTATCCTTAACAGACCTGAATTTAATTTCCTGGGTTTTATTGCTGCCTAATCACATACAAACAGGAATACTTAACATATGCAGTTTATCTTACGATTTAGAAAGAGATGCTTAGTCAGTAATCCATTCCCACAGTCATTCATTCAAATATTATAAATTAAAATACAGCAGACTGAAGTACACAAGATTGCAGCCAGTAGGTCAGGAGAAGTGACTGTTATGCTTTATTCAGCACCTCTTATCCTGCATCTGGAGCTCTGCACCCAGTTTTGGGCTCCCTCACACAGGAAAGACACCAACAGCCTGGAACAACCCAGCTGGAGTCCACTGAGATGTTCAGGGCTCTGGAGCACAGGCTATGAAAAGAGAGGGTGAGGGAACTGGGTTGTCCAGGCTGCAGAAGAGGCAGCTCAGGAGGACATAATTGCTGTCTTCTTTATGAAGTGAGGATGTAGAGAAGACAGGGCCAGACTGTCCTGGAAGGTGCACAGTGAATGGACAGGAGACAACAGTCACAAGCTTCAGCAAGGGGAATTGTAATTGCACTGAAGGAAAAAACTGTTGTACAATGAGTATGGGGAGGTACTAGTAAAGTGGGGTGTTGTGGAGTACCTTTTCTTGAAGATATTCAAAATTCAGTTGGATAAGGCCCCAAGTAACTTCAGCTGCCTTTGAAGTTAGCCTTGTCCTGAGCTGGGGGACTGAACCTCCAGAGAGCCCTCTAGCCTAAACTAGTTTATAATCTAAGCTACTTTACTTAAAATGGACCTGCTTTGGGTGTGGAGGATTGAACCAGATGACTTCCAGCCCAGGTTAGTCTGTAGATCTATGAATTATTAGATTATTTTATATTTATTGTATGGAGTTTGCATGTCAGGTAAATAACTAAGTATGCTTGAGATGGGGCAAGTAATTTTACCATTTTTTTTTTAACGATGCGGTCTAAAGAGCAGATGATGGGGTTGATTTACTGCTTACTGAGCAAAACCACTGTTAGTGAGTGAATCAGGACCAGGACTTAGCAGGAAAGGCGGAACAGATTGGCTTCTCCAAAGATGTTGACCCATATGGGCAGTGACTGTGGCATGAAGTCTCAGGCTTGTTAACCAAGCCTTTCTAAAATTTGGCCATGTTTTTTCAGGCTTGTTCTGAACTTTGGCTGAGTTTCACCAGCTTTCATTTCTCTCAGGCTAACCTGCTTCTCTCAATTGGAAAAGCACTCAGCTGTAATGGAAACAGCTGTTGTTTTGTGAAATGCTAGATACATATTGTTCAATGATGCAGTGTTTGTGGCCATATGCCAGTTTGATTTGACATCTTACCTCTGGGAATGAATGCCAGCTCCAGCTAACAGCATTTCTGGAGATTTCTTGGTTCATACTAATATACCTTCTAAAGAGGAAGCAATTATTTCCAAAAGCTCCTAAGTGACAAGTATTTCTGCAGTAGCATCTTTAGAAAAGGAGTATAAATTTTCTGAAATAGCTTTCTCAGCATAAATATTGCATTTGATCCTTGCAATTTTTCTTTTTCCTTTCCCTGCCTATGTAGTTACACTTCAGTTTTCATGATTTCAACTTTACTGATGAAATAAATTTAATTCCGCATTGTATCCCTCAGTTGTACCTCTCAAACATAAGCTACAGCACTTAAGCACAGCGCTTTAAACTTAACATAAGCTTAAATTCATCAGAGAAAACGAATCCCTAAATACCCGTTATGTTGCCAAGGCCAGGAACCTGAGGGTGAATTATCTGATTTATAAAGAAATATATACTATAAATGAATAATATTAAATTAAGTTTGCATTTTGACTGCGTTGCGTTTGCTGCTATAAGTACTGCTCTTTGAAGTATGAACAAGAACCTGCTGAGAAGAATGTATTGGAATAACCAGATAATATTCAGTGGTCTGAAAAAAAAAATGAGGGGAAATGTGAAATTTCTGAAATTCATAGCCATCCAACAGGCTGAACGGAAACTAGATGGTGTGTTATTTCAACAATTCAGAAAAGCAGCCTTGTTTCAATGGAGTTCAAGTCCTGTTTTTTCCTAAATAGGTAGGAGTCTGTGCAAGCATCTTTTCCTGAATCACAGTTATCTTTGTGATTTGACTTATTTCTTTGTTATCTTAAAGTAGATATTAGTTAAAAAGGTTTATTCATTAATAAAATCAAAAAGAGTCCTTGTGGAAGGTGTAACAGGAGTAAAAAGCAACCTGCTATATCATTGATAGTAATAACGAAAAATTATAGCATTCCAGATCACTTTCCCTGAACAGCAGCGCAGCGCAGAGGTAGTATTGCGTGGTCCTTCAAAACCTTCAAAAGCAGAATTTTTAAAATTGAGTAACTAAAAGCATAATCAGCAAAAAGCTAGATAAGCAACTGGGGCATAAAAATGAAATCCAAACTATCCCTCTCTGTCCCTGAAAAGTGAAATGGAAGGCAACCAGTAGTACAAGGATATTATTTAAGAGTATATGAAAAAATAAGATAATTAAAACTTGCTTTATAATATTATTAAAAAAATAGTTAACACAGTCAGATGTACTGGTCTCCTCTGAGATTCTGAACACTGGTGTTATTAGCTTTAATGTAAATGTTAATGTCAGAACTAGAATTAGA